CACCAAGAATTACACCTTTTTTTGAAAAAAAAGGAAAAAAAATAGTTTTTTGGTCCCTATGTGTAATCTAATGAAGACGGAATGTCATTTGTAAGCAAGCCAAGCCTCATAATTTCAGAAGAGCCTTATGAGGCTTGCTTTCTCCCTATCAACATTTTAAGATCGCAGAAAAATAATAATTTCAGGACTTTTGATGGATTGGCTAAGCATAGCGAAGAACTTCTAAAAGCTTTGGACGAGGACGTCATATGCTTCTCCAAGTTGTCAGATTTTCCCTATAGGAAAAAACTTGCTCACGCTGCTTTGCTTGAACTTGTTGAGGAAACAGCTGAAAAAACAAGGAATACAAACGTGGAGGAAGAGAAACCATTGGAAACTCTACAGCTATTTACAGTGATTCTTACCCTACAAGTGATTTGAATGTACAGGAGTGGCAATCTGTTTAGGAATGGTCTGAGGAGTCTGATGCTTGTGGTCGGCCGTTAGCCACACAATCATCTGATAGGTGTACCACAGGAGAAGCTGCTTTTATTGGTGACCTTAAAATTAAGGGTAAAGATTCTGCGTTAATTTCTTACCCCAAAGGCTTTCACTCAATGTTGCTTAGATCTCACTCATGCGGCATTTGTGCTTTCAACTCAACCCCATGCGAAAATTGCTGAGATCGACACCTCACTTGCTCTTGAGCAAGAAGGTGTCCTTGGATATATTAGCATAAAAGTGAGCTGTTTAAAACTAAAGTCCTAGTTATAGACTTTAATTTTTAAAGGATATCCCAGAAGGTGGCACAAACAATCCGGGCTTATCACCACTAAATACTCTTGGTAAAGATGATACTCCCATATTTGCTGGTGAAGAGGTAAGTAATTATATTATAAAACTTTATCTTGTTAATTGTCTCAATGCTTCGACAGAAACATCGTTCCTAAATTTTCTAAAATTTTTTTGTGAATGTATAATTTGACAAAGTTTTCGAATATCCAAGAAAACTACGTGACGAGTTAGTATTAATTACACTTAGTTGTGAGCACAACTTTTCTCCTAACGCATTTTTCAGATTTTGGAACATTTTTGATTCGACCGATTTCATTATTGTATACTCAGTTATTAGAATAACCTTAGTCCATTCTAAGTTGCCCATTTAGGTTATCGCCATAGGTCAAGTCATTGGAATGATAATAGCAAAGGACGTGAATACAGCTCGAAGAGCTGCAAAATTGGTTAAGGTC